CAGTTGTAACTTATCTTAAAAATGTAGACATCTCTATGAAGCCCAGCTCAAGGCCAGGGGCCTTGTTTGCACATTTCTACAAAGTACTATACTGGATACATTTGTGAAAAACTAGTAAGGGGGTGTCCAGCACCTGGAGTGCTGGTATCTTCCCGGCCAGTGGTCAAGTAAAACAGGGCGACACGAAAATAAAAATTTTATCTACATTGGACTCTTTTGCAGAGACTCTTTTGCTGACAGCCCCAAAATCAGCCATGGTGAAGATTTCTGGAGAAGCCCAGTTAAGACTTTTCTGTGGAGAAAGGAGGTGCCACTTGAAGGCCTTAGCAGCACAGTGTGTCCTCTTGTGGTGCTGGAGGCCAGGCCTCGGCACCCTGGGGTTACGGGGCTTGTCCTCTTTGTCAACAGGGAGAGTGTGCTGCAGGCCTCTCCCCGGGGCCACCTCTCTGAGTGCAGTCTGAGCTGGGCACCCTTTTATGGAGACACGCATCTTGTGGGATCTGATGCCCGCCCCAGTCCAGTTGGCCTCATCTCAAAGTGAGGACATCTGCAGACTCCATTTCCAAACTCTCATTGTCCTGAGGCCCCGGGAATTAGGACCTGTATGGGCCCAAAGCATCCCCTAATGGCGGTCCTCTGGTCCCCACTCCATTCCAGTCTTTCCCACATGCAAACTACATTTCTCCAAAATTCCCATCTCAGCATCTCCAAGAGCCTCAGCCACTCCACATTAGCTCTCAGTCCCATGGGAACATGGCCTCCTCAGGCCAGGGTGGAGTCGGCTCTGGGGCCACATTCCCCCACGTGTGGCCGTGACTCAGAGCAGTGATCTGTTGTAAAGCTCAGTAGGTTGTGGGCGGGTGGGGGGAGAGGGAAGGCTCTCATTCCCAAAGGAGAAACCGGAGGGGTCATGCTCCCGAGCAGGTCTCAGGCCCAGCAGGGTGACTTCTGGGTATCTGGAGCCCCCAGCATGACACTGTGGCCCGCGCTTGGGCCTGCAGACACTGTGGTGGCCGGCGGCCACAGCCCCTGCAGCACGGCTCTGACATCTGTGGGACCTGTGGCTCTGGGCTGCAGGTTGTCTTTCCTGCATGCTTTCTGTGTGTCCCCTGCGGTGGTGCTGCCTCGTGGGTGCTGTTGCCAACTCTCAGAATCCTTGCCAGCTTTCTCGAGGTGCAGACCACCAGTCAGGGCCACTCTGGGCTTCCCGGACGGCCCTGCCCTTCCCAGCTTCTGCCCACTGCTCTGAGTGTTGGAGACACACCAGAGTCACCACAGTGACGTTTGACCAGCATCTGGACACCACGTCCCAGCCAGGTTGACATGTGAAGCCCTCCAGCACGCAGGGGCCTTGCTCTATCCTTACCGTCTGGGGCTCACCCCAGAAGCTGCGACAGGCTAACCTGACCATGGTGACTGTGAGAGCCGCCCCAAGGGCACAGGTGTTGTGGGGACAAACGAAGTTCTTAGACTCTGAGGACTTGGATGGAGGGAGAATTAGAGGCCCAGGCAGCCAGGGCAAGATGGCGAGGGAGGAGGTCGGGGCAGGGCCAGGACAAAGGCGCGTGGACAGGGTCTTCTGGTGAGGTCCGCGTCCTGCTGGACAAAGTACTTGTGGGCATGCCCAGGACCCAATCAGACAGACACCTCCCTACTCCTGACCCTAGGTGGGGAACCCAACAGAAAAACTAAAACAGACACGTGGACACAGGGGACCCCAATCAACCCTTCTCTCTGCAGAAGTCTGTCTCTGTCCCTCTTTCCAGCAACCTGCATCTTGCCGTCCCTGTGTCCTGCTCTTCAGTCCCCTGCTGAATGGAGACAGTGGGCCCAGCCCTAGACGGTAACAGGCTGCCTCTTTGCTGTGAGGACAGTCGGGTAGTTCAGCATTCGGGGGCCTTTGTGCTCCCCGCCAGGCAGCCGCGGGACGGTGGTACACACAGGGCCATCACCAGGTCTTGGTTGGCAGTCAGGGTGCATTTGGAAGCCTTGAGCCTGGCCTGTGCAGCCACACTGCTGACCTGGCTGGGGGAACCCAGGTGCTGGGCCAGTCACCAGAGAGCTCTTCTGCAGGCTGTGCTGTGCTCTCAGGGGCACTCTCCCAAGGTGGCAGGAGGGCTGGAGGAGGACCAGGCAGCCGCGTTTCCCTCCACAGCCACCTCCAAGTCCCTTCACTCCCAAGCCCGCATGCAGCCTCCTGGGCCTCTGCCCCAAGGCGAGCATGGCACACAGATGTTGCCCTTCTCCCTAAGACACAAGAAGGGGCACAGCGACTCCGTCCCCACATGCTCTGGACTCTTCCCACCTCAGCACCGGGAACTCTGACCTCTTCGTGGTGGCTTGTCTGTCCCTCTGAGGAAGTCTGTCCTCCTCTAGGCCCCTCCTGCCTGTGAGTGGCCTGGAGGTCTGTAGGACTGTGGCTCTGGGCTGAAGGGGCCTGGAGGATCCACACTGCTGGCCAGGACCTGCTGCACTAGCAGGACTGCAGCTGCCCTGTGAATCCTAAGGCTGGGCACAGGGGAGCTTCAGAGTGTGGGACCCGGGCTCCTGCCTTGGTGGGAAGGGGAACGTGGGCGCCTCTGGTCTCCGCTGCCTGTTTCCCTGGCTGGGCGCCCAGCTGTGTGCACGGCAGGGGAGGGCTGAGGCAGAGCGGCAGGAAGACCCCAGTCACCTTCAGGGTGCGGTGGGGCGGGGGCTGGGCCAGGTCTCTCTGCAGGGTGGTCTCTGCCTCCCTCTCTTCCTAAAAACTGATGCCAATAGAGCCCAACACACATAACTTCAGTGTCCTCTCAGCCAACCTCAAGTCATTGAAAGCCAGCGCCAGTGCCCCCCTGCTGCTGTGCCCCCCTGGCCCTGTCCAGGCGCCTTTGTGCACCTCCCTCCCGTGCAGACCACGGTGCTCCTGTCGCAGCGCCACCCCAAGCTCCTGGGAGGTGTGTATTGCTGGGGATAATGTGAGGAAGGCTGGCCCGGTGCTGCTTAAGGGTGTGTAGAGGTCAGCTGAGAATCCTTCTGTCCTGGGCTTTGCTTCATTGGAAGGCTCCTGATTACGGCTTGTACCTCATCGCAAGTCGGGGTTCTGTGAAGTTTTCTGTGTCCTCTTGATTCCGTTTTGGCAGACTGAATTGACTGGTAATGTGTCCATTTCTTCCTGGTTTTCCAATTTATTGGAATATAAACTTTCAAAATAGTCCCCAAAGTCCTGCTGGATTTCTGAGATGTCATGGACTTCTCCTTTCCCATCTCTAATTTTATTAATTTGGTTTTTCTCCCCATTTCGCTTGGTTATTTGGCTCTGGGCTCGTTGATCTAGTTTTTTGTTTTCTTTCCAAGAACCAACTCTTTGTCTCCTCTATCCTTTGTATTGCTCCGTTGTTCTCACGGTGATTGATTTCTGCTCTCATGTTACTTCCTGACTTCTATTGGCCTGGGCTCTGGCTTGCTCCTTTCAAGGCCTTGAGGTGCATCCTTGGTTTCCTTGTTTGGGATCTTTCTGGCTTTCTGATGAGGGCACTAATGGCTCTGAACTTTCCTCTCCGATGTGCCTTCACAGGGTCCCACAGGGTCTGGGACCAAATCAACTTCTCCCTTGATTTCTTCTGTCACCCATTCGTCATTCCAAAGAGTATTGTTCAGCTGGGCTTGGTGGGACACACTTGTCATCCCAGTGGCTTGGGAGGCTGAGGCAGGAGGATCACAAGTTCCTATCCAGCCTCAATAACTTCTCAAGGCTCTAAGAATCTTCACAAGACTCTGTCCAACACAAAACATTAAAGGGCTGGGGATGTGGCTCAGTGGTTGAGGTTCCCTGGGTTCAATCTCTGGTGTTACAAAAAGGTGTATTTTTAATCTCTGTGTGTTTATGTAGTAGGATTTGTTGTGTGGATTTCTAATTAATTCCATTAGGATCTGATAAGATTAGTTTTTTTTTTGTACTTGCTAAGGGTTGCTCTGTGGCCTAAAATATGATCTACTTTGGAGAAGTCCATGACCCACTGAGAAGAAAGTGTATTCAGCTGTTGTTGGATGAAATATGCTACAGATGTCTGTCAGTTTCATTTGATTTATAATATTTTCCAGGTCCAAACAGTCTTTACTGAGTTTATGTCCAGATGGGGAGAGAAGTGTGTTGAAATCCCCCGGTATTATCATGCTGGGACCTATCGGGGGCTTCCATTTGAGAAGTATGACTTTTATGTAATTAGTTGCACTCATATTTGGGGGGAAATATTTATTATTGTTATATCTTCTTCTTGGATTGTTCCCTTTACCAATATGAAGCGACCTTCTTAGTCTCTTCTGGTTAATCCTGGGGTGAAATCTGCTCTGTCAGCTACGAGAGTAGCTACTCCTGCTTGTTTTGGGGCTCCGTTCCTCAAACGGGGCTATAGCTGAGGATCCAGCCCCGTGTCTCACACCTGCTGGGCAAGCTCTCCTTGAGCCCGGCCGCAGCCCTTGGGGACATTTTCTGGTGAATCGCGACCTGGGAGGTGTTGGCCTAGTTGGCTCTCTCCTATGTCTTGTTTTCGTTGTTGGGTTATATATTTGCTGGAAGGGATTTCTCTTCCACTCTCAAGTGTGGACCTCTGGAGAGCACAGTTGCCAATGTGACCCAGTTTGGTGGACTGAGAGCCCCTCATAGGTGTGACTGAGTTTCATTAATTGTGGATGCAGTGGCTGGGTAGAGACGGGGCCGACTAAACCCACAGGGCAGGCGCCAACCCCGAAGCTCAGAGCCTGGCATCTCTGTGTCTCTGAGTGTGGAGGCCCCAGGCCTCAGGCAGCCCCCCTGGGTCTTAGCTGGCTGCAGCCCATGTGGCTACTCTCCAGAGCTGCGTGGCGGTGCCCTGTGTCCTCCCAGGAGGCTTTGCACCCTGCTGGAGGCTGCGTCCTGGAGTCCTGGCTGTGCCCCTCCCATGGCCCCACCAGGCTTTCCAGGGGGGAGTCTGAGGGCATCCACATGGGGGCAGACGTGCTGGCCTCCCAGGCCTGCCTCTTACTTCCTGTGGAGGCCAGGGTGTCTTGCATCTGCTCGTCCAGGGTCAGCACCATGGACGCCGGCAGGCATTCTGTTCATCTACAACTACCATAAAAATTTAAAAAAAGTAGAATGGCAAAAAATGTGACTTATATTCCTGTCTTGTTTCCTCACCAACGCTGCAGGAGGTTTCCCTCTAATCATGGCAGGTGATGGCTTAGTGGTGAGTGTTATTAAGTCCCACCAACCCTGTCTTCATTCAAACTGAAAAATGAGATGTTGTCATTTGACTAGATTGTTCTTTATAGTCCTGGACGTTCATTGGTGAAAATAGGCACGTTAATTGTCCATCTCCACATCCACACTGATTCCTGTACATGTCTTCATCTGCATTCCACTGACCTCCACTTATCAATATCTTTATTTACACCCACATATATACTAAAAAGTCCGTATCAACTTCCTTCTATTGATGTATTTTATCTATCTGCATACATACCCATATCAACTACCTACCTAAGTAGCTACCTGTCTATCCATCATATACCATATCTAGTCTATCCCTGTCAAGATCTATATCATCTATTAACTATCAATATATCATCTATCTATAATCTAGTCTATCTATATTTATATCCACATTATACCGTCTCTCATTGATCCATTTACAATCTTTCTACCTAGTTCATATACATTTGTGTCTATATATCTATCATCTACCTATATAATCTATCCACTCATCCATGATCTATACATTGATATCTGTATCCATATCATTTATAATCTACCCATACATTATCTATCCAATTGTGTTCATATTGTCCAACATCTATCCACTCATCCATGGTCTATCCGCCTGTATCTGTATAAATATCATCTACCATCTATCTTCTCTTCCATGATTTATTCATCTTTATCTGTATTCATGTATTCTATCATCTGTCCACTCATCCATCATCTATCCATCTGTATCTGTATCCATGTCATCTATCACTTACCAATCCATCCATGATCTGTCGATCTGTATCCACATCCATGTCATCTGTCCACCAATCCATGACCTACCCTTCTGTATTTAGGACCATATCAACTTTCATCTATCCACCCATCTGACCTATCCATGTGTATCTGTATCCAAGGCATCTGTCATCTAGACACCCATGATCTATCCATCTGATTCTGGCTCAAAATCATCATTTATGTATCCACCCATTCATGATCTATCCATCTGTATCTGTATACATGTCATCTATCATCCATCCACCAATTCATGATCAATCTTTCTGTATCTGTTTCCTTATCCTCTATCATGTATCCAACCATGCATGATCTACCCATCTGCATATGTATTCATCATCTATCATTTGTCAACCCATTAATGATCTATCCATCTGCACCTGTGTCCATGTCATCTGTCATCTATCTACCCTTGTGTATGTATAGCCATATCATCTGTAATTTAACCATCCATGATCTACCCATCTGTTTCTGTATCCTTATCATCTATCTACCATCTATGATCTCTCCATTGGTATCTATATCCAGTCCTCTATCATCTATCCACCCATTCATGAACAACCATAAAAATCTGTATTGATGTCATCTATCATTTATACACCCATCGATGACCTCTCCATCAGGATCTGTATCCATGTTATGTATAATTTATCTACCTGTTTATGATCTATCCATCCATTTCATCTGTCATCTATCCACCTATCCATGATCTATCCATCTGTATCTATATCTGTATGATTTATCATGTTAGTATCCATCTGTGATCCATCAATCTGTATCTGTTTCCATATTGTCTATCATCTACCCATCCATGATGTATCTCTATCCATATCATCCATCACCTATCTACCCACCCATGATCTTGTTTATCATTTATCCTGCCATGTGTGATCCATCCCTCTGTATCTGTATCCATGTCACTTATCATCTATCCCTACAACCATGTTTGAGCCACCTGGATTTGTTTCCATGTCATCTTTTATCTATAAAACATCCACCATATGTCCATCTGTATCTGTATCCATGACAGCTGTCATCTCTCCTATCAGGTCATCTATCCATCCCTATCTGTATTTCTGTTATCTGTGCACTCATCCATGATTTATCCATCAGTATCCAGGTCCGTATATACTTTCATCTATCCACCTATCAGAGATCTAATCATCTGTCACTGTATCCATATTATGCATTACCTATGTACCCATCTATGATCGATCCATCTGTGTCTGTATCTATATCACCTGTCATCTATATATCCATAGCTTTCTATCTAATTTTGAATCCAAATAATTGTTCATCTATCAACACATTCATGATCTGTTTCTGTATTAATATCATCTATCACCTATCCACCCATCCAAATCTATCTATCTGCATCTATATGTCAGCTATCATCACTATACCCGTTCAAAATTGATCCTTCTGTATCTGTGTCATATTGCTGTCATCTACCCATCCATGATCTAACCATCTGATTCTGTATACATATCATCTATCCACCCATCCATGATCTATCCATTTCTATTTGTATTCATATAATCTATCATCCATCCTTCCATCACCTGTCCATCTTGATCTGTATTGATATCATCTGTCATCTGTCCATCCATCTATGATATATCCATCTATATCTGTATCCATATCATCTCTGCTATCCATGCTTTCTTGCTCCATCTCTCAGTGTCTGTATCCATAGCCCACACCTACATCTACTCCACCCATATCCACACTGTGTTGGCCTCTCCTTAGGAGAACCTGGCCGCAGACTTTTTGGTGTGTCTCCCTAGTGCTGTTGCTATGGTGGCTTGACCCTTCAGGACGACCTGCTCTTTCAGTTTCACTGTCTTCAGTTCCTGGTCTTTGCACTGTCCTAGGCAGCCCTTGTTCATGGGCAGGGAAGGTGTCCTTTCCCATAATTCCTTCTGGTCTCATTGCTGGTTTGTACCACTGCTGGCCCTGAATTTGTCTTTGGAAGGAGACAAAAAAAATCCTTTTTGTTTCTGCTTTTATTCCCACAATTCTCTTTTGAGGTCTGGTATATCTTCCAGAACACACTTGGCCAGTGCAGACCCAGCCATGGCCCCAGTGTGGACATGGGCCCTTGCTGGAGACCTTTGGGCCTCTGGGAGGCCCTTCTTCTGGACACCAAAGCCTGGCTTCTGGCCTGGAGGCCTCAGTCTGTGAGCCAGGGGGCTGGGGTGGGCCCAGACTTCCCCACAAACTCCAGGAGAGGGTGTGCGGGGCCAGGCGGTTGGTGGTGACCCAGCAGGCTCCACGCGGCCTGGATGAGGCGTGGGAGGGCCCGCACATCCTGTTTGTCACCAGAGTGGAAACAGATGTGCTGCCTGAGGGGCTGCCTGAGGCAGGGCTCCTCAACCGGCCAGGCTGTGGACGTGGGGGACATGAAGCATGTCAACAGCCTCACCCCCAGGCAGGCTGAGTTACGGCCTGTGGCTTTGGTGCCGGGAAGGGCACACAGCCCCAGTCCCGCGGAGGCCCCAGGGCCATCTGGCTGCCACATGTCTGCAGCAGAGGGCTTTCTCTGGTGGGCGGGAGCCAGCTGACTGCTGTGCAGCAGGAAAGCTGCTGGGAACAGCCCCCAGCCCTGTGGGTGAGGTGGCTGAAGGCAGCGAGTCAGATCAGCGGGTGGAGGACCCATGTGCTGGCTGCACCACGTGCCTGACACCGGAAGGCGGTGCTGAAAGAAGGCCACGGGCACCGCATCACACGGTTTTGGGCATTTCTATAAATACGTTTCCTGGACAGAAAAAAGCCCCCATACAGCCCCTCTGAACTAGTCTAGTGGCCACTGTTCTAGGCAAGCCATGGGCCAGAGTCCTGGTGCCTGATGCCCCTCAAGCCATCCAGGGGTCTGTGGAGGGGGCTCTGGGCAAGTACAAGGCCGGAGGAGCCGCCCCATCACCACACCAGGAGGCCCCTCCTGCAAGGCCAGACTGGAGACCACTGGGGCAGGGGCCAAGCTGGCCTTCAGGCTGCAGGATTGCCTACTGACCAGCAGGCCCTTCCTCCCTCTTCCTTCATCCAGCTCTCCTGGTTGGTAGGGTGTGTCTGCTGGCTGCCCTGCTGGACCTGGACCCCCAGTGGGAAGCAGATGGATGATGACCATGAGTGAGAGGGTCCAGGGTCCATGGTCTCTTCAGAGGGAATTGCTTTGGGAAAGAAATCCAACCTGTCTGCATCACGTGGAGGTGGAGGGGTTGGGGAGGCAGACCTGGGACCCTACAAGTCAGGACGGTGCTAGGGCCCCGAGTCCATGTGTCCGTTCAGGGCTGTGTGCCAGTAGCTGGAGCTGAAGGGAAGACAGGAGCAACCCTATTCTCCTGGAGCCCGCAGGACATGAGGGTGAACTGGGAGTGCACAAGGCCAGAAGATGTCCCAGCAGGGGAGGGCGAGAGCTGGGCTTGTGGCAATTAATTAGAGCAGTCAGGGAGGCTCCAAGCCAAGGGGTGGGGCATGCAGTCCTGATGGGTCTGGAGGAGATGGAGGCTGGGCACAGTCCTCACCAGGGGTCCTGTGAGCTTGGGAAGCACAGGGCTGCGCGTGTGCATGTGTGTGTGCATGGGTGTGTCCCTGTGTGCATGTGTGCTTGTGTGTGTGTGTGCATTGCCTGTGTGCATGTGTGAGCATAGATGTGTGCCTGTGTGCATGTGTGCTTGTGTGTACATTGCCTGTGTGCATGGTTGTGTGCCTGTGTGCACACGTGCTTGTGTGTGCGTGTGCGTGAGTTGCCTGGTACATGTGTGCATGTGTGCTTGTGAATGCATGTGCATGCATTGCTTTGTGCATGTGTGTGTGCATGGGTGTGTGCCTGTGTGCACATGTGCTTGTGTGTGCATGTGCGTGTGTTGCCTGTGTGCACGTGTGTGTGCATGTTGTGTGCATGTTCATGTGCGTACATTGCCTGTGTGCATGGGTGTGTGTGTGTGTGCTTGTGTGTATGTGTGCATGTGTTATCTGTGTGCATGTGTTCATGCATGGGTGTGTGCCTATGTGCACGTGTGTGTGCTTGGACAGGAAGCAGAGTCAGGTGCTGCTA